GAATCGTCCAAGGAAGAAAAAGCATAAAGAGAATCGTCCAAGGAGCAATTAGCCTGATGAGAATCGTCCAAGGAGCAACTAGCATAAATAGAATCGTCCAAGGAAGAAAAAGCATAAAGAGAATCGTCCAAGGAACAATTAGCCTGAAGAGAATCCTCCAAGGAGCAACTAGCATGAAGAGAATCGTCCAAGGAAGAAAAAGCATAAAGAGAATCGTCCAAGGAGCAATTAGCCTGAAGAGAATCGTCCAAGGAGCAACTAGCATAAAGAGAATCGTCCAAGGAGCAACTAGCATAAAGAGAATCGTCCAAGGAAGAAAAAGCATAAAGAGAATCATCCAAGGAGCAATTAGTCTGAAGAGAATCCTCCAAGGAGCAACTGGCATGAAGAGAATCGTCCAAGGAGCAATTAGTCTGAAGAGAATCCTCCAAGGAGCAACTGGCATGAAGAGAATCGTCCAAGGAGCAACTAGCATAAATAGAATCGTCCAAGGAGCAACTAGCATAAAGAGAATCGTCCAAGGAGCAACTAGCATAAAGAGAATCGTCCAAGGAGCAAAGCATAAAGAGAATCGTCCCAAGAGAATCGTCCAAGGAAGAAAAAGCATAAAGAGAATCGTAGTTGAAGAGAATCGTCCAAGGAGCAACTGGCATGAAGAGAATCGTCCAAGGAGCAATTAGCCTGATGAGAATCGTCCAAGGAGCAACTAGCATAAATAGAATCGTCCAAGGAAGAAAAAGCATAAAGAGAATCGTCCAAGGAGCAATTAGTCTGAAGAGAATCCTCCAAGGAGCAACTAACATGAAGAGAATCGTCCAAGGAGCAAATAGCATAAAGAGAATCGTCCAAGGAGCAAATAGCATAAAGAGAATCGTCCAAGGAGCAAATAGCATAAAGAGAATCGTCCAAGGAGCAATTAGTCTGAAGAGAATCCTCCAAGGAGCAACTGGCATGAAGAGAATCGTCCAAGGAGCAACTAGCATAAAGAGAATCGTCCAAGGAGCAAATAGCATAAAGAGAATCGTCCAAGGAAGAAAAAGCATAAAGAGAATCATCCAAGGAGCAATTAGTCTGAAGAGAATCGTCCAAGGAGCAACTAGCATGAAGAGAATCGTCCAAGGAGCAATTAGCATGAAGAGAATCGTCCAAGGAGCAATTAGCCTGAAGAGAATCGTCCAAGGAGCAACTAGCATGAAGAGAATCGTCCAAGGAGCAATTAGCATGACGACAATCGTCCAAGGAGCAACTAGAGTAAAGAGAATGGTCCAAGGAGCAACTAGCCTGAAGAGAATCGTCCAAGGAGCAATTAACCTGAAGAGAATCGTCCAAGGAGCAATTAGCATGAAGAGAATCGTCCAAGGAGCAACTAGCCTAAAAAGTATCGTCCAAGGAGCAACTAGCATAAATAGTATCGTCCAAGGAGCAACTACCATAAAAAGTATCGTCCAAGGAGCAACTAGCCTCAAGAGAAACACTGCATTGTTTCTAAATATTCGTTTGACAATTTACTCAATAATTATCACATAATAGTGTGTTGGTGTTATGGATGCTAAACTTTCTGTATCCTGAATATAGACATATGTACGACTTAATATAGAAACTAGATCATGTAATGTACAGTAGGGGAGAGCGGTGATAGTTCGGTCACTTTTTCGTAAAATATTTATTGAGTTAAATAATGTATGCAGACAAAGTTTACCGACGCTAAAATGTTGCCTCATCCTTTAGTTCTTCTGTCTGTAAAATGTACATCTTTAGCTCTGTTAGTTTTGGAAGAGGAAGGTAATGATTAGAGGTATCTCAAATGGCGGAACCATCCCCCTATGGGGGATTGCTTATAATGTAGTGGATTTCTCCCCTACAAACGCTGTTTGTCGCTGAGTAGCCGACCCCACGAATTCCTCAGTGTATGCCTCGTGGTCTAGGTCACCAGCGCCGCCTTACATGACGGAGGTCAACTACTAAGCCACGCCTACCTCCGCTATTTAAGACCTGACCTCGTGGTGACCTCCCTCTTCTTTCGCCCTACACCAACCAGCAAACTACACCACCTCCTCCGCCGCTGCCTGGCGGCCCTCGCTCCCACCGGCGAGCATGACGACCCACAAGCTGTCCTCCTCTGAGCATCCTCACCAACCAGCTCTTTCTACATCACGCTTGTAACCATGCTGCCTTCGTAGTGTAACGGGCCGAGTTTTCTCTTTTCAATAATTTACCATCCAGCTATTCTTTCCTGTTAGTATTCTATTTATTCATATACTTATATGTTCTGTGTAATACTCTTTCCAATGAGTGCCCTGTTTTATATACTTATCCTTCTTCAATTCTTTACATATATATATATATATATATATATATATATATATATATATATATATATATATATATATATATATATATATATATATATTTATTCTTATGTATTCTTGCTCATATTCTGATATGTTCTTTATCTCTATATACCTTATATTCTTATATAAGTAACTCTTATGCTTCTCTACTTATGTTTTCCAAGTCAATGTTCTTTCTTTCCATTTCCTTTCATATATATTGTATTCTCAGTTTCAATGTTCTTACCTTTCTGAAGTATACTTTGTTTTATGTCTTTCTTATACATGGGTTAGTCTGGGGAACCATGTTATTCTTTGTACAACACTTTTTATACTTACAAAGGGTAGCTGCCACCACCCAGACTTTTCATTATATAACATAACTCATGGAAAGTTGTTGGGTAGTGTGGTAGATGTCTAGGCACGTGAGTAAGTATTATTTTCTGGGAACCAATGTTTAGAAGCAGTAGAGTGGTGATACTCAGATTACTAATTCAATATTTATTAACACAGTGAGTGGAGAAGATGCATCTTAGATTCACTCAGGCTAAACAGAACCGCAACTAACTTATTAAATCATCAAACACTTCAAGAGCTTATTACCTCATTCAACACATCCAAATACTCATTACATTATTAAACAATTGGGATATCATTACCTTGATACATGAGATTCCGTACTATTATTCACAAGCCATCACTGGACCCTCAGGTCTTACTTTAACAAGTAACAAATTACCTCTCCACTTCTTGGTTAGAGCATGATACTCTCAGGTTATTCTTTCATGGGTACTACAGCTGAATACATAACACACTGGGCAATTCCACAATTAGTGACATACCATATTTCTTATCATTTCACCAGGAACCACCTGGTACCTTGAACTCTCATTCAGGGGTTCAATACTTAACCTGGGATGACTATATTTCTGCTAGTCATCCCTAAGCATGGATATTAATACGGCTCCATACATATAACCAAGAACAGTAGATAGACCATGATCATATGACGGAGTCAGTGGGCCAGAGTTGTTTACAGGCTCGCTCGCTAGCTCGGAGCGCCTGGCCCGGGAAAAGTTGACTAGTGGTGGTGGGCCGTGGCGTCTGCCAAGGAATCTCGCCCTGAGATTCTAATCTCGCCACCTTAAAGACGTCTTTCGAGAGACATCGTGCCCATAGGCGGCTCCCGAACCTCAGGAGTGTTGCTAACCCCCACAACAGCGTTTGGAGACGTCAAGGAGAAATCAGAGGGAGTGAATATTTAACTTCACTATACAAAACATACGTCTGGCACCGGTTCAGACGATAGCTAGAGCTCTACTTTACTTGACTTAATTGGCACTGAAGGTACTATGTTAAAACATGAACACTGATATTCGCAAAAATGACTAAGTTAAACTGAGTTAATATAGCGGCGTGGAACACACGTGTACATACCTGCAAACGTGGAGAAATCACAGAAGGAGTGATTTCCCCTCGCGTGCCTGCATATATACGGGCCTGAGGGCATATTCCTACTAGAAAGATAAATTTCACTAACAATAGACCCTCTATTCACAGTAGTCGTTGGACACCTAGCTGTGACCGTCAGTGTCACAGATCAGGCTAATTTTCTACATCTATATTTATGATTTAATCAGAGTTTGAGTTTGTCAGTAAAGAGGTGAAATGGAGTTATATATGCGTTCGCAACTCTATTGGCCTGACCGCAAACCACATCCCAGGTCAGACGGCCGTTAAATCTTGGAGAATTTTGAGTTTGACAGGAACTGTTCAGAAGATGAATGACTTTCTTAAATAGACAACTGACACTAACTAAACTGTGAACATCAGATTCTCTGATGTCGGGGCGACAAGATAATATAACTTCAGTAGCGATCAGACACCCATGGATATCCCCACGGACGACCTAAAATACGCCACTCTAACTGGCAAACTCAACACTCGCCTACTTGACACGTCTTACTAACAATAAGGACAGTTGAAGCGTTCAACACCACTCACAATGGATCTTGAATGTTCCAACTGTAAACAGACATATCTAAGTTGACTCAAAACACAGGTGTTCTCTCTCACATTCAAATTCATTATATAGAGAGGTTGGTTTCAGTAAGTCAGAGAAAATGGGATAACGGAGGACTGAGGCGTCTTGAAGTGATGAGAAAACGGACTCAAAATAAAAGCAGAGGTACATGTTTTGTGGGCTATTGAGCGTAATATGAATCATTTGATTTTGGCGTTAACTGACGTGTACGACCGTGGTCGTTACACCAGCACCAAGCTACATTGTACATCCAATACAACATGTATACAGAGAGCACATTGTGAGTTTCCTTTCCCCTTCCCATCCTGAGTGCAAACAAACATCCCATAACCCCACAATAAAACACAAACGTTACGTTAGAAGCTGGTACGGTGCAGCCTATCTGACTGGGAAGTTAGCTTCTAACACCTTTTAAGGATATATATATATATATATATATATATATATATATATATATATATATATATATTTATCCAAGATACTATATATATATATATATATATATATATATATATATATATATATATATATATATATATATATATATATATATATATGGGCATATCAGGCAAAACTTGTCCCAATATTTTTGACAAATCCCGGTCGTGGTAATATCCCAACATAAACGGGTCTTGTGTTAGTAAACAAGAGGCAGACAGCAGTACTTTTACTTACTTTTATCCTCCCTCTTCATCTCTAAATAACACCAATATCACAACCATGGAAGCTGAAACACTTCCAAAACAGCAAACAGCCAGCAGTAAAGTAGATATGTGTAGTGTGTGTGGTGTTAATAAGGCCAAGTACAGGTGTCCAGCGTGTACTGTGAGGTCATGTTCCCTCTCCTGTGTCAAGACTCATAAGAGGTGCGAGGGCTGTAATGGTGTCCGGGACAGAGCTGCTATGGTGCTCAAGGATGACATGGATAACCTCAGTCTCCTCAGTGACTACAGGTGAGTCAGTCGGAAAAATTATTATCCTGTACAGGTGTTAGGGAAATAATAATATACGGGGTAAAATTGCAGATTACAGCACCCAAAGAATCTGAAAAAAGGTATTGCGTTTACACACTGTTCATTCCTACCACTAATCTATTATCATATTCGAATAAGACGTCTAATTATAAGATAATTTTCATCTATTACATTACAGGCGGAAATGTATAATCACGGAGATAGCTTTTCCCCCCAAAATTCTATTTTCTTCCATTAACCTCCCGCCATTATCGTCTGCCTCTCACCCTACACTGCGTGTCTCTCGCGTCTCCTTCATAAATCATGACTCGCATGCGTACCCGTACACGTCACGAGGCCAATCAAAAGCGTTTTTGCTTTTGGAACCAATTAAAATGGTTTTGGGTTTAATTCAGAGTATATTTGGCCCAATCAAAATCAAGTTTTATTTTGGGTCTCTCATATTTTGAAATTCACGTTCAGTTCCGACCATGGAAGTCTGCGATGGATGTCACTTAAAGTATATGGAGCTGATTGCGAGTTTTTGGAAAAAAAGGTAGAAACTATAGCATTTTTTCGATCGAATGGTGTTCTTCCAACCTCAGTAAAGTGTACTAAGAGCAAGACGGAATGTAAATATCGCAAAGACCAACATATGTGGCGTTGTGTAAGAATCCCAGAATGCAACGACGAACAAGAACCAGGCCAATAAGGTAAGAGATGATTCCATCATATGGTGAGAGTCAGTTAAGTTAGGTTAGGTTAAGTTTTTGTTTTTCTAGTGTTTTTTTTTTTTTAGTCGCTTAGCCACTTTTTTTCGGAAAACATCTAACGAAAAAAAAAACGGCTAATTTCCGCCAAAAATGAAGGTCATATTCGGTCTAAACACACACAAATACACTAGAAATATATATTTTTTACTTGCTAAAAGTGAACGGTGTGACAATGCAAATTTACCCAAAAAAAATTATGATGGTTTTTATGCGATTTGTTCACATCTGATATTTGTTTTTATCGGAAATCACTCATTTTGGATTTATCCTCCTCCACCCCCTCTAACAATAATGGGGAAAGTGTGGGAGTTCTGGGTGTGGGGGAGAGCCAAAACGAATGATTTGTGGTAGAAGCGAATTCTAAAATTGTTCTAATCACATCAAGAAAACACCAGAACACATTATGCAACAGAAAATCTGTTATTTACAAAAAGTAGAAATAATAGTTCTATTGACTTTGTGTTCTGAATTCCCGGTATTCTGTGCTTACTGACTTATACAATACAGGTGCTCCCCGACTTACGACGGGGTTAGGGACCCAAATCCAGGTCATAAGTCCGACATGGTCGTAAGTCCGACATAGATAGAAAAATAAAATAAAAATTAAAAATCTACAATGAAATACAGTACCCTAAACGTAATAAATAATGAGGAATGGATTCAGTACAGTAAAAGTAATAAATAATGAGGAATGGATACAGTGTGACTGAGCACTTACCTTAAATGTAGTCAGCTGAATGCACACAGGGCCCCCATAATTTTATATTTACAGGATACATGGAGACTATATTAATTGGAAGAAGCAGAAGAGGAGACAGGGCTGGGTGGGTCATCAATGCCCCTTTCTTCAGACAGGTTTATGTGCTGTGGAAACTTGCTGGTTGAAGGTATTGGATCATCTTGAGGGAGTGAAGAGGTAGCACTGGTGGGGCGTGAGGAGACAGCACGGGGGACTTCTTGAAATAGATGTCCAATTTAGACTGCACAGTTTACTTTTTCTTTTCATTATAAATTTCTCTGTAGCAAGCAAGTGCATCTTGGATCATTCTGTCAACTTTGGCATAACGCTCATAATTTTGATCCATGCCATCAAACATTTGCATTGCTTTATTAATTGTAGCAAATGCCTCTGCCATATGTTTCACTGAAAACTTTTTGGGGGTGCAGGTTCTTCTTCTACATTTTGTCTCTCTTCTTCCTCTGCAATTTTCTGTGCATCTAATTCAGTAAGATCCTCGTTACTGAGTTCTTCTGCTACACTTTCAACCAACTGTCCAACATCTTCATTATCAATTTCTAACTCTAGCTGTTTACCTAACTCCACTATCTTGTTACTAATATCCGAAATAACTTCATTTTCATTAAATCCTTTGAAACTGTTCACATATCTTTTCAGGATTTTCTTCCATATTCCATTCATGCAATGTTTTGTAACCTGATTCCATGCTACACTAATGTTCTTTATACATGACAAAATGTTGTACTCCTTCCAAAACTCTCTGAGCGTTTTCTCACCTTCAATAGCAGCAACAGCCTGAGCGAAGGTCGTGCGTAAATAATACGCTTTAAAGGCAGCAATAGCACCTTGATCCATGGGTTGGATGATAGAGGTGGTGTTAGGTGGAATGTACACTACCTTAACATCAGGGTGCATGTCGTCCAGGTGTGGTGGGTGTCCCGGAGCATTATCCAAAATCAGTAAAATTGTGAATGGAATCTGTTGTTGCAGACAATACTCCTTGGCTCGTGGAATGAAACAAGTCATGAACCAATCCTCAAACAGTGCTAGGGTCATCCAGGCTCTCTTTTTACTGCAATAAAACACTGGCAGTGTGTGCTTGCTGACATGTTTAAAAGCCCTGGGGTTCTTTGAATGATAGATCATGAAGGGGTTTAGCTTGAAACCAGCAACATTCCCCCCCAACAGAAGTGTAATTCTGTCCTTGAATGCCTTGAATCCGGGCATTGTTTTCGCCTCTTTGGGGATGTATGTCCGCTCAGGCATGCGCTTCCACAATAATCCAGTCTCATCCACATTGAATATTTGCTCAGGCAAATAATTCCCTTCCACAATAACATCATCTAACTCCTCCTTAAAAGATTCGGCAGCACCAACATCGGCACTAGCTGCCTCTCCACTCACCTTAACATTATGTAGACTGTAGCCTTTTTTAAATCTATCAAACCACCCATGGCTTCCTGTAAAGGTTTGATCACATTCATCTCCTGCCTGCTCCTTCAGGCTTTGGGACAGGGTTCTTGCTTTAGCCTGTATGGTTAGAAGGCTTAAGGGTACACGCTTCTGTATCTGGTCTTCTATCCATATCACCAATAGTTTTTCCATATCGTGAATAGGACCTTGTCTTCTCTTTGATATTATAGTTCCCTTTATAGGTGTTGTTCCTTTCACTACTTCACGAATACGTTCCTTGTCCTTCAGAATAGTGGATATAGTCGAGTGAGAGAAACCTAGGTCGCGTGAGATTGTTGCTACTGTTTTCCATTCTCATGCTGTGTTATTATCTTCATTTTCATCTCAAAAGTAATTGCCTGTCTCCTTTTCCTTGGAACACCACCAGCACTCTCACTTTTACGCTTTCCAGTCATTATAAAGTCAATTAAATACGATAATAACGAAAGTTCACAGCGCGATCAGTATAAAATACGATAGCCAAACACCAACTAAGCGCTCCACTGAGTGAGTGTACCCACGAGGCAACCCGAGACGCGCCACCCTCTCGCCCGGGACGGAAACGTTTCGGTATAGAAAATGCGCGCTTCATTTGAAAATATTTTGGGTCACGGCGGTCGCAGTCGTATGTCCCGACGGACGTACGGTCAGAGCAGGTCATAAGTACCAATGGACGTAAGTCCAAGTGGTCGTAAGTCGGGGACTACCTGTACAACCAAACTAAACCTTACATAACCCCCTAGCCGGGGACTCCATCCCCAGACCCCCGGTGGCCGCTCCGAATCCCCAGACGCTATGTAATGACCCAGAGTCGCGTGGTTAACCTCCACGAGAATATAAATAGCCGTTACAGTATTTCTTACCTTACTCTGAGTCAGGGTCAGAGTCTGAGTCAGAGACCAAAATGCGTCGTGGGTTCCTCTGTTCTCGCTCCGATTGTGGAGGGTACGGAGGGCAATTTGTTGTTAGAAGGCGTGCTGGTGCAAATTCCTGGTATATTTCTTTATGAAGAGATATCTCGCTATCAATTTGCGACGGAAGTGTAATATAAGAAAATGATCATACAAAAAATAGTTCTATCAATTGAGTTTAGTGAATTTCCGGAATTTTGTGGTAGCTATTTTACTGCAATATTACCATATACATGTATGGTACTATACAGGTGAGTTATGGAAAACAATTAATATTTCCCTTATTTTATTTACATAATGGCCACCCACTAGAGGTGGCTATGCCAAGAAAGAAAGTCATTGTAGGATCCCTCTGATGTTCTTGATAGTCTTGTCAAGGGCTGTTTTGAAGACCAGTGCTGTTCTTGATTCCACAGCTGAGCTGGTAGACTGTTCCATAGATCTACCACCATCACTTGGGCTGATAGGCTCTGCCATAGGTCTACCAGGCTCTGTGTGAAGAAGTTTTTCCGTAGGGATAGGAACACTAAGAAAACATTAAATGTTAACTGACAACTTTCGGAAGTTTATATATTTAAAATAAATATTTTCTTATCTAAAAAAAATTAGATAAATTAACAAGGATTTACATAATGAGTGATATTGTTTTTGCATTTTTATTTTATTTTTATTTATTTATTTATTTTTTGCTGAGAACACAAAACTAAGTCAATGCTAGAACACCTTATTGACTGTTTACATGCTGTGTGTTGCCAAATACTGCTGTGTTATGCAGTACAATTTATCAGATGTGAGATGAACCAATCTGATCCTTGGAGGCTACCTATCCAAGGTTAGATTTAGGTTTAGGTTTGTTCATTTATCATTAATAAGTCATATAACATAACAGTATCTGGTAAGCTGTTCCTCTGTGAAAGCGTTACTTCGTACAGTATATATTAAATGCTGTTCAGGAGAAAATTGTCTAAATAACATTAAAAAATTTGCACATCATCATTTTTTAAATTGCTAAACTAAAATGGTACTGTACCTGTATTACAAATTTCTGTAAAATAGTTATCATCTAATATACAAAAAACGTTCAAAAGTTGCTGGTTGTTTTTGTGTGCAATATTTTGGGGAAGCAGTTTTACAAAGTACAGTAGTAATATTTATTCTGTGCTGAACCCTAAAAATTAATCCCACTGAACGACCCAGTTTATAATACCTGTTTTTTTTGTATATCCCTGAAAACTTCCAGTACTGTGTGTTCAACCAGCAAATATACAGTAAAGTACAGAAACACTTTATAAACTTTTTATTTTACCATTTCACCTTACTGACCGTTCGGGCATTTTACTCTTCAGTATGATGACGTCACTCTTTATATTTTATGTGGCTAAAACTAAATGATTTAATTCAGCTTTGAAGCAACCCCATACATGAGGGGTTAAAAGAGCTTAAACTATTATTCTCCTATACAGTAAACACTTGTTATTCGTGAATAGCATCTTCTACATCTAATGCACTACTGTATACCTATACCAAACAACCAACAAGCCGCGGCAGCACTCATCCCGTCTTTTAACTTATTTAATAATTCAACTTTCTTTGTAAGGATCATCACTGACTTCTGCCTTTTACATTTCACTCCACTAGCACTGACACTAGGTAGTCTTTTAGGGTCCATTTCACACAGAAACACTAAAGTTTTGAGAGTACAAGACGAGATGCTGCATCACAGACAATGGTTTAGCATGAACAGAGTGAGAGGAGATGCTGTGATCACTTGTCGTGACTCATTGCGCTGCAGGAAAAGGCTCGCAAGCTAAGCACCGTAGCCACCATCTGCTTGCCATGAATCGTCAAACTTGCGAATCACAAACCCGCATATGGCAAGGGTCTACAGTCAGTTCTGCTATAACGCGATAGTTGTGTTCTTGTAAAATATCGTGTTATAGAAAATCGCGTAATAGAAATAACAGGGCTTATGGAGAAAATAGGGTTAGGTGCAGATTACTACTCGAAATCGAAAAAAAAATAGTAGTTAGCCTAACACAAAGGATAGTACAGTCAAAATAAATGTTACATTCATATCTAATAATGAAATCACACAGTAAATGTAACACTTTACCTTGAAAAAATATGAATATAACTTGATGGGGGAGAAGGGTGATTTTGAGGTTGATAACATCGAGCTTCTCTTCAAGTGTTATATCCTTTCTTTTACTATCATCACCGGGAATTCGATCACCAGAACGCTTCTTGGAGATATTCTTCTTTACCATATTCACAGTTAATACCACAAAATTGGAGAAATAGTAAGCAAAAATCGCGTTACAGCAAACAAGCGTTCGCGTTATACAAATATCGTTCCTCTATTCATAAATCGCGTTAGAGCAAATTCGCGTTATCAAAACACGCGTTATAGCAGAACTCACTGTACTGTAGTTCTGGGTGACACCTGATGAGGAGTACTCACTAAACCTCTGACTTAAAACTTTGCTGGGAATCCACCCCAAAAAATTCTTTCCCGGGTATCCTAAGCATTTTATCTGCCTGAAACTTAACCCTGCACCTAGGATGATACATTTTATGAAAGATAAGCTAATCTACAGCCTTGTAAAATGTTACGCTGCATACCCGGTGCAGTACTGTATATAGAAACTGTGAGAGATAGAGAGATAATGCACTTAAATCTCACTAATATGTCAATGGTTGGAATCCTGCTTGACCCAGACACACATGGGGTGAGTGTTATCCAGTGTGACCTTCAGTACCAAACATCACAGGTTTCCTAGACCCCAGTTTCCTCCTGTACTAACACTGGATTGACCAAATGTTAGAACAGCTAATAAACTGATAAGCGATGAAATGATAAATAAAAAAATCACGGTGTAATAATAAAGTTTGATGCAAGGAAGTTGAGGAAGGTGGATATTGTAATAGAAAATGAACTTAATATAAATTATATAATACCTGTACACAGTAACAGACTGCACTGCTTTGTTTAATATGCATATTTGGTAGTTTTATGGATTGTAAACCTTCTCTACGGTATTTTAAAGATTACCGAGACCTTAATCAGTGTCAAGATTACAGTATTAATTAATGCTGTGTTTAATATTATGCTCTATAGTTCAAACTAAAGACACCTGGTAAACATGTACGGTACTGTAGTTTACATGAAAATAAAGTTGTGCATATTATATTTTTCCTTTATTTAGATATCTTAATTGGTTTATATTTTTGATGGGTTCCACACAAGTTGATTTACCATGGGCTCCGTACCCCTCTAGGACCAGTCCTGTACAATGTAACAATATTGTACTGTATTCTACATTTACTTGAAGAATGATATATATATATGTATGTGTATGTATATAATATATATATATGTATATGTATATACGCACACACACACACACACACACACACACACACACACATGATCAACACCTCAACCCATACCATGTGGCAGAGTCATGTTTGTTGAACAATAATTATATATATATGTATATATATATATATATATATATATATATATATATATATATATATATATATATATATATATATATATATATATATATATATATATATATATATTGTCTTATTTTAGACTGCTTGAGGAGATTGACAATAAGCTGGAGGATAATCTGAGGAACCCACTGAGGCGTCACGTGATGAGAAGCCTGAAAGATAAGCCGTCGTTGCCGCGCTTCCTCCACTGCCTGAAGAACGAGGCGTGGAACAGAGGCACCACACTAAAGTTCATGCCCAGCCACTTCACCAGCCGCCGGGAGAACACCACGCGGTACAACTTTAAGGAAGGAGTTATAAGGTTGGTACTGGGTGTGGTGATAGAATGAATACAGCACTCTGGGGCACTCATAGTCCACCCAGCTGGGAAACTGGAGGTGGTCGATTAGCAGTATTGACTATTATGCCTCCTTTTGTACCGAAGGCCTAGTAGCTATGTAATATGCTGTACCTACACTGTCTCGATTGGGCTGTCATGCCTATGGGACTCACTTGTACTTATAAGGATTCTAGTATGACTGATATTTTGCATATGACGTTCCCAAATCTGCTTTTGTATGTACTGTATTATCTTCGTTGTACATACAGGTTGTGTTGTATACTGTAATTAATCTCTGCACTAAGGGGGAGAACATTCTTTATGGTACTTCCCCAGAAATTATGAAGTGGGTAAATAAATAGATGGATAGGTAGACAGGTAGGTAGATAAATTGGTTAAGTGGATAGATAAGTTGGTAAATAAAAAGATGGATATGATTTTATGGAATACATAATACTGTACTGTACATCAGAGTAGCTGCATAAGGTTTCTTTGTAAGTTTTTATTAAATAATCGAACTAAATTATGTTACTTCCAATTATTAGTACTGTAATGCAATTGCCTTTTTTAATCTTAACTCTTTGTATACGGGGTCTCTTTTGGCATTAGTGAAACAACAGATTAAATCTGGTGTCCCATAGTGAAGGGGTTACCGGTAGTTACTATTGTACGTGGATTTAGATTATGCTGCTACTGCACTCAGGTTTTTTATGCTGGCTGTGTTTTTATTTATTCGTCTTTATTTTTTATTTTATTTATTTTATTTTCCCAGGTGGCACATTAGATGGGTGTTTCACCAAGCAGACGTGAGCTTCACAGACACCGGCGTGGACGAGAACACCCCCATCATTAAACTCCTCAACAGGTACCTAGAACCCAAAAATGACTTGAGCCCCGAAGACAATGAGAAATTAGAATATTACCAATCAGCATCTTACGGTAAGATTGCCGTGCTGATAAAAACCGACGTACCTGGTTCAGGGACGACCTTCCAGGAGCTATTCGTAAATAAGAGTCTTCGTCTGAACTTGGCGAACAAGACCGTCCTCGAGTATCCTGTCTTCTATGTGGTATTAAAAGACCACATCGACGCTTACTTGGATTACCAGCCCGAGGGTCACGACGATCTCTTCAGCGAATTACCCAAAGTGAAGGGCATGGCGACGCAGAAAAGTGACAGTTTAAGTTACTTTGATGCCACTAGTGATATGGAGGAAGGTTAACAGTTTACCCTAAAGAACAGTTTAATGTTATCCCATTATTGTTTCAACTTTAACTCTTTTGTGTTGTTTGTGGCATTTTCATTCACTTGGATATTTAAGGCTGTCAGTGCTTCATTATCATTACTGTACTGTACACTTCCAATGATTTAACCTGTAACATTCAAGTGGATTCATGTCTGTTCTTGCTGCTGTGAATGAAAACGTTATGACACGTCACAATACTGTAATTCTATTTAAGAGTATAATTTGATAATATTTTCGGGGTAATATAACTTGGTAGCGTTCATCTGAAGGTCAGGATTATATTACGCACTGCAACGGGAAATTATATTCTAGCCTGTGATCCAGAAACATATAATAATGAAAATTTCAAGGTTTGTAAAAATGCAAAATAAATTATACAGTATTCCTGGTGATGTGAATTTTGCCTCTCATGAATTACTGTAGCGTACATATTAACCTCTTCACTATGGTGACTCTGCTTTCGATATTTTACTTGGATAACACAGGCAATTTTATTCAGCAGAGAGAGAGACCCGTGCCGTACCTAAAGTTTCGCCCCCACAAACAAATTTATTTCACCCAAAATATTCTTAACCACAATAAAATGGGTGTCACTGAATGAAGCACTGTACTACACAGTCATGAGAAAAAATCCTGTCAGTACTCTGTTCCATCCATGAATCCTGAGACTTATGAACCCGAGACATCATTTATCCCTGGGCTCATAGATGGTGCACTGTGTGATGTCTCGGATTCACAGGTTCGTAAGTCTCAGGATTCATGGATGGGATGGACAACTGACAGGACTTCTTCCCTTGACTGTACAGTATGGTGAGGGTGAGAACTGTAACATGTTAAAAGAATTATGCAGCAGATGGTGAATAAGATTAAATACAGATGATGGCTTTAGTAAATGTTTATAAGATAAATACAGTACAGCTTAATGGTACTATGAAGATAATGGTATTATTATTTATTCATGTTTTAAAAGTCTATCCTTATATGATGCTGATGTATAGTTTTATATACTGTTCTGTATACTGTATATGTGCATATAATTATGTGTGCATGCGTATTTTTCTGTGTGGCTAGTTGTGTATGTGTATACTATATATTGTCGGTATCTCTGTGTGTGTAAGTATATATGTGTGTGTATGTGTGCTTCCTAATGAATAAACTAACTAACTTTGTATGTGTGTTTATTCCTGTCCATGTGTACTAAGTTCTCACCAATATTTAATTTTACAGAGTTCATTGGTATATTAATGTATGCCTTTATGTATGTTAGTGTATGTGTGTTGTGTGTTAGTATGTTTGTAAGATATTAATGTATGCCTGTGTATTTGTGGCATATGTTTGTATGCCTGTATGGTTGAGCTGTGTGTGTTAATGTGTTTGTATATGTTAATGTATGCTTGTGTGTTTATGGTTTATGTGTGTGTGCTTTAATGTATATGTTTTCATTGATATCCAGTGTTTGTGTGACTTTGTCTTACCTTGTGTAGAAGCACCGAGTGCGAGCTCTTTCAAGACAAGACTTGACCAACACTGGAGCGGGTTCAGGTACATTCAGGAGCCGGTGCATGCCCAGTATTTGCCAACAGTGCGTGACAGAGACGTGACCGATCGCCCGGGCGGCTAGCGAGCCGATCTTTTGGTGAAGAGGATAAATGAAAAGGAAACGTAATCAGAGACGTGACCGATCGCCCAAGCGGCTAACGAGCCGATCAGTGGCGAAGAGGATAAAAGTAAAATTAAAAAAGTGTGGGTGAGAGAGAATAAGATAATGTTTAGGTACCCCAAAAAATTTCTCTAAACCTTCCAATGATTTAGTCTTTAATAGACAGGTTGGATCAATGCCTCTTCTTGCTGCTATTAATGAAAATGTTATATACTTGTCACATTTATTTTCTGCTTCAATATTAATTTCATGTTAATTCCATTGAGTCTTCTTATTTTCATTCAAGGAACTTATCTGAAAGCTTTGCATTTTCTATATATTTTCCAAAGTCTTTACATGCTTTCTATTCACAGGATTCAAAAGCCTTTGCATGTTCATAGTTTCCATAATTCACCTTAATATTGACATCTGATTGGTGAACTGGGAGTGAGCTGGCAATATGGCCAACAGCTCACCCAGAGAGAAAGATCCAATGAAACAGGGGATATCACTGGTTAATGTGCCGGCACTGACCAATCAGAACGCTTGTTACATTTACGTACTGGCATTGATTTTTTTAGTTTTGTTTAGTGTGTTGTTAAATTTGTGACCAAAGCGTTGCCTGACTCATCTACATAGCCAACTATGCCTTATAGCAAGTAGCTACTGTATATAGGAACATGCAGTGTGATTCACTTACTGGTAATGTAACTCTTATTTATGAGATAATAAACGAGAGAGAGAGAGAGAGAAGAGTATTTGAAGAGAGAAAGAAGAATATTTGAAGAGAGAAAGAAAAGTATTTGAAGAAAGAGAGAAAGAGTATTTGAAGATAGATAGAGAGAGGAATATTTGAAGAAAGAAGAGAGAGGAGTATTTGAAGAGAAATAGAGAGAGAAATATTTGAGAATATAAGATCAAAAGCATTACTGACAAGACACTAACATATAAATAATGGATATATCAGTGATGCTGTGAGCCTGCCAGTTAGTGAATCACCCCGTTCATGTTGGTGTCTCTTGATCGGACTAATTAAAGGCTTCAAAAACTCTTACATTATTACTACCTAAATTAACCTCATTTACAAGGACCTGTAAACTTATGTTTACCATTGTTTGTATGGTATACAGTGCCCACAGTCAATATATACTGTACATGGTATACGTGCACTGTTTATGTACAGTACTGTACATGCTAAAGCAATGTGAATGTGCATGATGTTTTTAATGAATATGTACAGTATCTAATGACTGCTCTATCTACAGTGTTTCTATATTTTATACTGTACTGTATATAGAATATGTGAAACTACTTTCTTATTGATTTGTTTCTATAAACCGTACAGTACAGTAATGGTTTCCCCTCGTGTAACGAGGATGGCCGGCCCTAGAGCCACCTAGGCATGAATTTGTTTAAGGGTTGTAGAAGCTGTCGCCAACACAACAACCACACTCTAAGTTAACGAGTTGCATGACTCAATATCAAGAAACGGTCCGAGAAAACTGGACAACTCGCCAACTGCACTGGCTAACCATTACCCCGGAACACGATCCACAAATCGATTAACATCCAGGTTCCCAATTACTGCTGGATAGACAGAGGCAAATGGCATAAAGAAACTTGCCCATAGTTTCACCCTGCCCAGGGATCAAACCCGGGTCCCCTCGCCTGAGAGATGAGCATGCCAACCATTTCACCACAGGTCGCCACACAGTCGAGTACTGTAAAGGCTACTTTTCATGCAGTCCACTTTTTTAATAACTCTGAGAATAGGTCTCAATAAATTACTACACCTAAACATAACCTGGCAGTACAAGTATTATCACCACATATAAACAAATCTAATAGAACATCTCAAATTTCTTCCCCAAACTTGACCAATACATTTTGTTATTTAGTCTTGTTGTTGACACATGTAGCACTATGCACAAGACAAACTAATACTGGACAATGAAGGTCAGGTTGACTACCTTAACATTCACCAAAGTAAGCAGACAACAGGTGAAAATGATTAATATAATTAAGGTGCAAGCATTTTTAAAGTCTCCAATATTTCACAAGGGGCACCACTGAACTAGGCATTCTTCTTACTGTTTACTGTATATACCATATCATTTCTTACATGCATGATCAGTTTCTCAATATAATATGAAGCAAAGTATTTGTCTTGCCATAGTCGTGTTAACTTCACTACATCTGACCATTATGAACAATGTTAACTTTGTGCTGTGTCTTACGTGTGGGAGATTTATCATGTTCTCTCACCAAATTTACCATTAATGTGTCAAAACAAACATTTCAAAGAAAATCCCAAATAAAAGAGCTTACTCTTCAATATACTCGTAGTGTTTATGTTATTTATTATCCATACATGACAAACTTTGGTAAAGAAATAAGAAAATCAACTCACAACAGCCTTAAGTCATCGTCCCCAAGGAGTTAAGTCATCCTCCTCAGGGAGTTAAGTGAACCTCGGAGTTAAGTCATCCATCTTGGGGAGTTAAGTCATCCTCCTCAGGGAGTTAAGTCAACCTCGGAGTTAAGTCATCCTTCTTGGGGAGTTAAGCCATCCTCCTCAGGGAGTTAAGTCATCCTTCTTGGGGAGTTAAGTCAACCTCCTCAGGGAGTTAAGTCAACCTCCTCAGGGAGTTAAGTCATCCTTCTTGGGGAGTTAAGTCATCCTCCTCAGGGAGTTAAGTCAACCTCGGAGTTAAGTCATCCTTCTTGGGGAGTTAAGTCAACCTCGGAGTTAAGTCATCCTTCTTGGGGAGTTAAGTCATCCTCAGGGAGTTAAGTCATCCTCCTCGGGAGTTAAGTCATCCTCCTCGGAGTTAAGTCATCCTCCTCAGGAGTTAAGTCATCCTCCTCGGAGTTAAGTCAACCTCGGTTAAGTCATCCTTCTTGGGAGTTAAGCCATCCTCCTCAGGGAGTTAAGTCATCCTTCTTGGGAGTTAAGTCAACCTCCTCAGGAGTTAAGTCAACCTCCTCAGGGAGTTAAGTCATCCTCCTCAGGGAGTTAAGTCAACCTCAGTCATCCTTCTTGGGAGTTAAGTCATCCTTCTTGTCATCCTCCTCAGGGAGTTAAGTCATCCTTCTTGGGGAGTTAAGTCCATCCTCAGGGAGTTAAGTCATCCTCCCTGGGAGTTAAGTCATCCTCCTCAGTTAAGTCATCCTCCTCAGGGAGTTAAGTCATCCTCCTCGGAGTTAAGTCATCCTCCTCGGAGTTAAGTCGTCCTCCTCAGGGAGTTAAGTCGTCCTTCTCAGGGAGTTAAGTCATCCTCAGGGAATTAAGTCATCCTCCTCAGGGAGTTAAGTCGTCCTCCTCAGGGAGTTAAGTCATTCTCCTCATGGAGTTGAAACATCCTCCTCAGGGAGTTAAGTCATCCTCCTCAGGGAGTTAAGTCGTCCTCCTCAGGAAGTTAAGTCATCCTCCTCAGGGAGTTAAGTCATCCTCCTCAGGGAGTTAAGTCAGTCTCCTTGGAGTTAAGTCATCCTCAGGGAGTTAAGTCATCCTCCTCAGGGAGTTAGGTCATTCTCCTCTGGGAGTTAAGTCATCCTCCTCAGGGAGTTAAGTCATCCTCCTCAGTGAGTTAAGTCATCAACCACAAGGAATTAAGTAATAGTCTTCAAGTGTTAAGTCAATGTCCTGGAGGAGTCACAACTTAGCTTAAAACCTTACTCAAGCGTCTTTGTTGGTACCGTACCTGAGGAGTGAGGACTGACGTTGCTGACCGAACAGCAGCAGACTTAGTGAGTCGAGTAAAGGAGATCCAAATATGGAAGTGAGTTTGTCAAGGTTTTCCGGATCACATGAAGATTAGCCCCAAGGCTTATATTGCCTGATTCGCCTGATATTTAAACACCCTAATGTCAGCCTGAACTAACTCCCCATAGTAGCTTAATTTCTCATCACAGGAACAATACTTACACACAGTGCTTCCTGTTGACGCATAAGTGAGTCACTGAGACCTAGTGACTCAATCAGGCCGTCACGACTGCCTCAGGACTTTGCTATTTTTTTTAATAACCTGAAAAAATATATATATTTTTGTCTATTGAACCTTAAAAAGCTCTTTTAATCCAATACACTTATGATATATAATAGCAGAGACCCATGAAAGACCTCCATTTAATATATATCACTTTAATGGTACGAGGATAAAACATTTTCTCGAAGTTGACTGACGCTACAAATGACCTGCATTGATGGAGTGAACTAGTCAATAAGTTAGTCATGTTCAATACCAACAAACACCTGTGCTGGCTTTAACGTGACGTGGTGCAGCTGTCTGAACTCTGGGAGCCACCAACAAGCTTTAAAAGCTGTAGAAGCAGAGAGACAGCCACAGTTTACATCAACTTACGCTTGTACGAGTACTCTACCTCCCTCCATCTCACCCATCACCAACAACAAGTTAGTATTTTTTACCGCAAAGATAGAGAAAAGTGCTAGAAAGAAAACCTTCAGTGTATTTCCCTCAAGTAGATATTTTTTCGCTAACTGTGGCATATGTTAGCTTGCACAAAATGGTAGTAAATTGTATTTTCGTCTGGAATAATTACTATTGCATACATAAACGCAATATTACAATCATTCTCAAAGACAAAACTTCTCGCAGCGAACCTCCTCTCTTGTCCACAGTCATATAACGTCAGAGGTGCTGACTCAAAGCTTCACTTTTCTCACACTTCCCCATTTTTCCTCTACAATAATTACGTCATTACCTACATAATATTAGGCTAGCGTGTGTACAAAGTCCCCAATACAATGTTACAGGTCTGGTTGAAGCCTTCGTACGGTGTGTGATAGCTCAAGATGTCAACCAAGATCCTGTCTCTGGTGTTGGGAGGTCTGGCGCTCTCATTCTTTCTGACCATCATCGGGAACGCTATGGTGAGAGAACCGAGTGATAGATAACCTAGTTGTCTGCAACCTTATACGGCGATCTACTCAACTCAGCGTTGGCAAATTATCTAAATGTTTTTCATATACTGTTTAATTATGCGAACATTTTAATTTCTGAAAGTTTGGGTATTCTCTTTTTTTTTATAAACAATTAGAATTTCTGGTGTATTGTTCTCATATTCATTTTAGAATATAGCGTTTTATTAAAAAATAATTATATAGCATAGAATTATAGATAAAGATATATAGTACCTATAATATCTAAAACTATATACTGTACACTTTAAGATTATGTTAAAAATTTTCTTTCTTGACCAACAGGCCCAGGACATCTGTGAAGTTGACCCGGCAACTGTTGGTAAGAACAACTATATCGTTCATATTTACAGTACACTGTAGGATACGATACATGTTTATAATGTAAAAAATATAAGGTATAACGTTAACAAGCTAATGTATATAAGGCACGCCCACACATACACATAAGGACACGCCCGGGAGTGTTTAAGTATAGTAGGTAGTAGGCAGCTATCAACAGGGGGGTACTACCGCCTGGGAAGATAATGGAAGCATAATGTGTTGTCTAATGATAGACCCTGCTGCCATATGGCATCACGAAAATTGTGACCAAGTCCCAGGTTGCTGATCTAACTTTCTGCTCATTTACACACAATTGCAGGGTTTCAATTGTTTCTCTTACTTTGACAATACAACATACATAATGTTTATCATTTCTCATTCTTGATTTATTTTTTCGATTTTTTATTTATTTATGATTATGATTATGTTTAATATTTTTTTTAGTACTTTGTTATTAATATTTATTAATTATTATTATAATAATAATAGTTATTATTATTATTATTATTATTATTATTATTATTATTATTATTATATTACTATTATTATATTTTCGCCCCTCAGGCCCTGATGTGGGTCAGTAACCTGTGCCTGGGTGGGCTTATCCCCGTAAAAAAAAAAAAAAAAAAGGAAGGAGGGAGGTAGGGGGGAAAGGAGGGAAGGAACGTGAAGAAAGGGAGGACGGGAAGGTCAGCTCTGATGTTAGTCTATTCATTTAACTCAGTATTGTTCTGTAACAGGACAGACTATTTGGTAAGTATTAAATACAATAATAGTAATTGAAAAAACATTACGTAGTTAACACCATGGAGGATAATATACTACTATAGTAAATTATAATAGGAAAAACTTCATTACAACCTGTATTGTTCAAGATAATGATTTAAAATAAGGTATATTTTATGGATCCAATTTATACATACCTACAGTATACATCTGCAATAATATAAATAGCTAACTTTGTATACTAATTATGTACCATTTATCTGTGAACTGCAGTAGACACCATAATTATCAAGTGTTGCTGAAAATGTAAATTATATACAAGTGCCTATAGAAAACATATGTTTGTTTACCTTTTAAAATGTGCTTCTCCTTCACCCTAGACTGTGATGGTATCTGTAGGCACAACAACTGCACAGAAAATGAGGAGAATCTGAATAAGAGTTGTGGTGCGAACGACTGTGTGTGTTGCCAACCAAGTGAGTAATGATATACCTTAATTACTGTTATTGGATCACTTGAAGATTATCACACCCGTGTTTATTTCACCTGAATATTAATCACCCGAACGCTAACCTAACCTACTGTAAATAAACTGGGGCGTATAATCTTCATGTGATCCCTCTTGCTGTTGTTATTATTAAAACACATTTTTTACGTAGTTTGGATAATTAATGATTTTTTTCCAAGTAATTATATTTTACACTCAAGAATTAGATTTATGTAGATGCTCCATATAGCGGCTTCTAGTATTGTTTATTCTTGTCACTGCTGTATACATTGCACAGAGTTCTATCTCTTATTTTTTTATCTTTGTTGGACTTGTGTATTACTAACCAAGCTACGTACTTAAAGAAATTCCTTGTTGAACTAAACTAATAACATTATAACAACATTAACTTCACATTTGTAAACAGACTATTTTTTTAAACTATATCTACCTAGAGTATTATTTTTCTTATATTGGCTTGTTATCGTCTGATTTTAATGTTTTTTTTCGTTTTCAGTTCCTATAATATGCGAGGGCACTGTATGCGAACATATACCTGTAGGAACGAAGGTAAGAATATAAGTGGTTTTTTGGGATTACCTTTAAGATTCAGTCTCCCAGCTTATTTCATCTTAAGATTCAGTCTCCCAGCTTATTTCATCTTTAGATTCAGTCTCCCAGCTTATTTCACCTTAAGGACAGTGAGATACATATAGTAACACCTTTATACACGAACTCTTGAATGCACTTAACACTTACATGATCATTATTGTACTCTACTAGAAAGAATTACGTGAAGAGTAACCACCCAAAAGCTGTCTGAGGGGGGGCTTAGGTTAGGTTAGGTTTGGTTAGGTTATGTTTCGTTAGATTAGTTTAGCTTAATTTTGGTTAGGTTGAGTTAACACTAGGGTGGTTAATATTCGAGTTTAATAAGCTGGGGAGGCGAAATAAGCTGAAGGGGCAAATCTACAAGCGAAATTAGTTGGAGTCGAATCTTAAAATACAGAGAAAATAAAAAACGAACTACACACACACAACGTCAGTACACATGGCGACAGTCGGTCTTTAGTGTCACATATTCTAACACTCATCTATTGTTGCAGGAAGCCGTAAATGGGACCTGCAGGAAGTATGAATGTGAAGATGGTGAAGAAGTAATCGATGTATGTGACGGTGGCTGCGCGTGCTGCGTCCAGAGTAAGTGGCTGTCTAGTATTGACGCTATCACAGATGTTGGGTAAATTAGGACTTGTTATAATGACACATTTTTCTACAACAGAAGATATCATTTACAGTCTCGTGTTTGGCCATATTTTCACGCTAATTTAAAATTTTTGCAGGCACACTTTTGTTTTAAGTAAAAGAAGAATCATGACTGACAATGAACGGCTAAGGACCATCTTATTTGGAATATTCACAAAATGGACGTTTACGACCCGTGTTTTCTCGGCTATTTATACTTTAGAATTTAGACCAAGAATCTCGCCTTATGCATTCCTCTGAGGACAAGCAAAATATCACCTGAGCCCACGAGGAATCATCAGTATATCCAACCATCTGTAAAAGTGAAAGTCTGACAACTGGTATCACTAATAGTTGATGACTACTGTATATGCCAAGCGTCGAGAATAGAACTCAGCTGCTCTCCTCACAGCTAAGATTTTAAAAGTTGCTGCCAGGACAACAAGAACATTATCTGTGAGGAAGAACATTTGTTGTACTGTCAACACGACCATATCTTTTGTGACCATGACTAAGAATGGGTGATTTACCAGCTAAGGACGACATAACAGTTATAACGATAGTGAGGAATTACAACAACAACGACAGTGACCATAACTGAAAAAGAAGAGGGTGAAGGAGAAAATTAAATATGTAACTTGATAAATTAATTAATTTCCATTAAAGTGTAACTTGATAAATTAATTAATTTCCATTAAAAGTGTGCATCATCATTAACTAATTATAGTTTGTTTTACCAGACAAAAAACTAAGTCATGTTTATGAATTACCGGAGAATTGGCAAAAAACTTGTGACATCAGTATTTTCGGAATTCAAACAAACTGTAGGCCTATATTAGATACTTTAGCTTCAATCCTATTTTTTTTCCTGTCGTATTAATTAATCATCATTACTTAAAACTGAAATTTGCTGGCTTACAATTCATATAATAATATTCAATAAATATCCACAAAGGTACTGTACACTTGTTTTCCGTCTTTGAGAATTATATAAAATAAAACGGTATGTATGCACTATTATCTAAACTTATTGGCACATTTAGAATTATTTTGACCAGAAAATATTTTGTGATTTGCAAAAAATTGGTGAACTTTGCTGCTAACATAAAAGAGTCTTATTTTCCAAACTTTTCCATCGCCCGTGTAAAATTATTATTATATTATTGGTGTTAAGGAAGCTTCTGTAGCGCCACTTTTTCACATATTATTTTGTGCTCACTTGTTAATTGATGACCAACACTACAGAAAAAATAAAACTACAGTATAGCTTCAAAACTACACAACTACTAGTGTATTGTTGAAAATTTAAGACAATGTTTTCAGATTAGGCTGCTACAGTGGGAAAAGTTAAAGATCAGGCTACATTATTCCAAGCTTTAGATACTGTTATATTACATAATGTCACAAATTTAGATTGCCGCAGACTGGTAGCAGAAGTTATACTACATCAAGGATTCAATAGAACAAAGTTTCATGAATGTGTAAAACGACTGAATTAATTCTTGTGAGTAAATAATTGTCTATCTCTGGATCCTAAGGTGCTATTGGAAGAATTAACAGTAATATTGCAAATTACAGCAACCACAGAATTCCGGAAATTCAGTACACTTAATCGATAGAACTATTTTTTTTCTATGACCATTTTCTTATATTACACTTCCGTCGCAAATTGATAATAGGGAAGTTATTGAATTAAAAAAAAAAACAGAGCACCTGTTGCCTCTACACTGTTGCTCAAAATGTGTGTGTTCGTAAGTTCGCTTACCTCCCGCGCACGAGCACTATCAATTGGCATCGTGCTTCGTAATGACTAGGAATACGGCCCTTCAAATCCAATAAAAAAATCTCAACATTTGTTTCAACCAATTAGCATTCAATATTCGGCGTGGCTGGTAGGACCGTAGGATGAAGAAAATTTGGATCATATGAAGATCCTCCCCCCCAAACCTACTTGGGGGGGAGGATCTTCATATGATCAAGCCTGGATGGGAGGATCTGACCTGACCAATGACCAAACCTGACCTTACCTGACCTGACGTCACTATGACCACATTTAGTGGTCATAACCTAACCTAACCTAACCTAACTTAACCTAACCTAACCTAACTTAACCTAACCTAACCTAACTTAACCTAACCTAACCTAACCTAACTTAACCTAAACTAACCTAATTTAAGGTTAGGTTAGGTTAGGTTAGATTAGGGGGGTGGATCTTCATATGAGCGCGACTGGGGGGTGGATCTTCATATGAGCGCGACTGGGGGGGGTGACTTTCAGTTGGATACTGGGGGAAGATCTTCATATGATCCGAAAAATTTTTATCAGTTACAACGAGGAGCCATTATGTGGTGGTTGCGATTTAGATTGTTGGAAGTTTCTTGCATTATTTAATTCTAAAAATAAGGCAACTTTAGATTTCCTGCGTAACCACAACGGGTAAAACGACCAGGCATTCGTCTCGAATACTTCACTCAGTATTGAGCGAGATATCTCTATAAAGACATATACCAGGAATTTGCACCAGCACGCCTTCTAACAAGTTGCCCTCTGTACCCTCCACAGTCGAAGCGAGAACAGAGGAACTCACGACGCATTCTGGTCCCTGACTCAGACTCTGACCCTGACTCGGAGTACGGTAAGAAATACTGTAACTCCGGTCCCTCTAGCCGGGGGATCGGAGTTAGGTAAGGCTAGTTTGGTTGTATTGTATACGTTAGCAAGCACAGAGTACCGGGAATTCAGATCACAATCGAAAGAAGCATCATTTCTATTTTTTTCGTAAATAACAGATTTTTTGTTGCATAATGTGTTCTGATATTTTCTTGTTACGTTTAGGACAATTTTAGAACTCGCTTCTACCACAAATCACTCGTTTTGGCTCTCCCCCACCCAGAACCCCGAACTCCCACACTTTCCCCCATTATTGTTAGAAGGGGGGGGGGGCTAAATCCAAAACGAGTGATTTCCGATAAACGAATGACATGTGAACAAATCGCATCAAAAACAATCAGAAAAACATTTCTTTTATCAGATTCTTTTGTTGCTGTAAAATCTGCAATTTTACCAAATTAACAGCTGCACAGTTATTATACTCAGTTGTTGATGGTAAAATAATGTTCACAAGACAACACAAGCGTCCCTGCCCACCATCTACCTGACGCCCAACTGCACTTCGGGTTCAATTGAGGTTTTATATTTATAAAAGGCATTGATTTTATTAAAACAATTTATTAAATTTTTTTATTTAAATCCAAATATATTAGTATTAGAATATTTTTTATACATACGAATTAAAATTATAGATAATATTTCTTTTGACATTTATTTACATCCACAGCCAGCATGGTTAATAATAATAATAATAAAATAATCTTTATTATTATTATTATTAATATTATTATTATTATTATTATTATTAGTTTATGAAGTGAGAGCGGCCAGCGTGCCATTTCAAACCTCAACATTTATTTGGATAATGGATTCTGAAACTATCCTTGTTGATAAAGTGAGGGAATACAGGAGTGGGCCATAGGAGTAGAATTAACTGTAATTAGGTATATAATTTGATTACTTAGAACACGATTAGTTAAAACAGGGGAATGAGTCTCTAATGTTAATTGTATATAGTGGTCAAAGTTATAAATATACTGACAATAGGTCGCGTAAACTTGACGGTGTGAGACAATACACTGTACAGTATACTAAAACCCTTGCTGCTGTGTTAATAAACTTCAATGTGTGTACTGTACTGTGTTCTGTCGGATATATTTTAGGTTTATTAGGATTCGAAATGGATTTTATAATTTATGGACGCCTTTAAAGACATTAGCGACCAAGAATTAAATTATTATGATCTTACTATATATAATGTATTCAGATTAATTAAGTTTTAGAAGTCTTATTTATTTTGATATAAATAGCTGATGCTTCTGATTCTTTAACTAACCTATCCTAACCTAACCAGGTATAGCCCATACCGGTCCAACTAATTACCCAAATGTACCCAAATGTAGCCGCAATGAAGTCAAATAATGGTCCTACATGAATAAATCGGACTGCCAATCACTTCTCGACTAGTATTTGGTGTCAAAGTAAAAAAAAATTGGAAAACTTACTTTAATCTGAGTTAATAGATCGCGTGCATGTACCGAGGGAGCGAGTAATTACCCAAATGAACCCAAATGTAGTCGCAATGAAGTCAAATGATGGTCCTACAAGCGTAAATCGGGCTGTGAATCACTTCTCGATTATTATTTGGTGTCATAAAGTCACAAAAAAATTGGTAAACTTAATTTAATCTGAGTTGTGTTAGGTTAGGTTAGGTACATGCACTCGATCTATTAACTCAGATTAAATTAAGTTTACCAATTTTTTGTGACTTCGTGACACCAAATACTAGTCGAGCTTAGGTTAGGTTAGGTTAGGTACATGCACTCGATCTATTAACTCAGATTAAATTAAGTTTACCAATTTTTTGTGACTTCGTGACTCCAAATACCAGTCGAGAAGTGATTGGCAGCCCGAGTTATTCTTGTAGGACCATCATTTGACTTCATTGCGGCTACATTTGGGTAATTACTCGCTCCCTCGGTACAAGCACGCGATCTATTAACTCAGATTAAATTAGGTTTTCCATTTTTTTTTTTACTTTGTGACACCAAATACTAGTCGAGAAGTGATTGGCAGTCCGATTTATTCATGTAGGACCATTATTTGACGTCATTGCGGCTACATTTGGGTACATTTTGGTAATTAGTCGGACCCGCCCATACTGATCCTTTAACTAAACTAACCTAACCTAATCGAGCCTAACCTATCTATCCTATGGTTCACAAGATGAATAATATATTGCCCTGATTAGCTATACTATAGGTGTTCGTTGTCTATATTATGACAGGCTATACTACAGGTATTCTATAGATTAATTAATGGACTTTTTGTGGTATAAGTTGGTAACATCTGACGTGTTTGATGTACAGTGTAGTGGAATTCTCCCCTACAACTGCGTAGCAGCCCACCACCAAGCGTATCCGCATTCCAATGTGCCGCCTCCCCTAGCAACCAAGCGAGAGCTGTCCCCAGATGTTACCGTATCTTAGCAACGGAACTAGTCACCGGCTACTTCTCGGGTTTTCCCAACGTGACTCATAGAGGACTGGCGGCTGCTGCTGGGTGTATATAAGTTTTCGTTCGTCAAGTCGACCAAGAGATCGGGAGGAAGACATCGGAAGACCTGAAAGATGAACTGGAACGCCAAAATAGGTGGATGAAGATTGAAGAAGTCATTAAGATAAAGAACTATACTCATGTTTTTAAGATTACTTTTGAAGAAGTGTCAATGGCTGAGAAAGTTTTACAACAGGGCTTTCTAATATTCAACATGTCAGTCACATCGGAAAAGAAGGGCAATTCATCGGTCACAAACAGCTATACTACAAATATAGAAGAACCTTTAACGAGAGACTGTCGGAAAGAAAAAAAAGTACTGCTCAGATTGTGCGGTAACCACTTCTGAATGTAAGAATACACATATTTGGCTGTCTCAACATAAGAGAAACAGGAATACATCATGGGACTATGGGACGTTAGCAGTAACGCAATAAAAAACACATGATAAGTGAGGAACAAGAAACAAGGAAAAGAACAAGACAAGAAAGGATAAAATATCGTCAGAAATAGCCAAGAGCGGTCAAAACTCATAGACCAAGTCACGTATTAAAC